GACTTTGGATGGGATGGGTTTAGGATTGGGGTGGAGTTTGGGGGGGCTCAAAGATTGGGGTGAAGTTTGAGTGGGTTTAGGATTGGGGTGAAACTTAGCAGGGATTGAAGACTGGGGGAGGGTTAGGATTGGGGTGAATTTTGGGGAGGCTGAAAGATTGGGGTGACGGTTGGATGGGTTTAGGATTGGGGTGGAGTTTGGGGGCTCAAAGATTGGGGTGGACTTTGGATGGGTTTAGGATTGGGGTGGATTTTTGGGGGTTTTGGTATTGGGGTGAAATTGGGGGGGGTCAGGGATTGAAGACTGGGGGAGGGTTAGGATTGGGGTGGACTTTGGATGGGATGGGTTTAGGATTAGGGTGAATTTTGGGGAGGCTGAAAGATTGGGGTGGACTTTGTATGGGTTTAGGATTGGGGTGGAGTTTGGGGGCTCAAAGATTGGGGTGGACTTTGGATGCGTTTAGGATTGGGGTGGATTTTGGGGGGGCTCAAAGATTGGGGTGAAGGTTGGGTGGGTTTAGGATTGGGGTGAGGCCAAAGTGAATGGGGTAAGTCAAGAATGGGTTGAGTCCTATATAGGACAAGGGTTGTCCCCATCTGCTGACGGTGCCCCCTTGTCCCCCCACACCCCTCTGACCCCAAACATCCCACTGTCCCCCCACAGAGGAACGTTCTACCAGGGCTATCGCTGCAACCGGTGCCGGGCTCCCGCACACAAGGAGTGTTTGGGGAGGATGGGGACCTGCGGAGCTGGTGAGATGAGTTGTGGGGTTGGGGGGAGTGGGGCGATGTGGGGTGAGGGGGTGGGGTGTTATGGGGTGGGGAACGGAGGGGCGTGGGGTGGGGAATAGGGTGATATGGGGTGGGTGTCCCCAGGTGTCCCCAGGAGTTGTGGGATATCCTAAGGAGGGCTGCCACCCCCCAAGGAACATAAGTAGCATGAGAAATTAATTGGGATGGGTGTTAATTGCCCCCCGACTAATGAGACATTCCTCTTCCGCCTCAGATCCGAGCTCTGGCAACAGGAAGGTAACGGTGAAACGGGTGCAAAAGGCACCAAATTTGGGAGGTCCCGGTGGTGCCATCACCCCCTTGGATCTCAATGGGGTTCTGTTGGTCCCCCAGATGAAATCCCAGCGCCCGGGACACGAGAACAAGACTGCAGACCTGGGTGAGCACAGCCTGGGGGTCTTGGATTTATGGGTCCACACGTTTTGGGGTTTCTGTGCCCGTGGATTTGCACCGCCCCATATCACCGCCCCATATCACGTCTCCTCATTCCTGTAGGGTTGCCCAAGATGGAGGCGAGCCAGCACTACAGCGGGGTGCCCCCACCCCCAGGAAATGTGGGTCCTGCCCTACGTCTCAGCCCTGGGGACGTCGTGGAGGCAATGGTGGCGGAGGTGGAGCAGCTGTGGTGGCAGGTGAGGGGTCAACGGGGTGGCAATGGGGACCTGCATGGGGATGGGTGGGAGGGGGTCCTCCACGGGAGACACCCCTCCATGGTGGTGGACCATCACTATGGGGACTGATCCCCTCTGGTTGCGTCAGGATGGACCCCAAAATGGGGACAAGACCCCTATGGCCATTGTAGGGATAGATCCCCATGGCCACGTCAGGTTGGACCCCGTAGTGGGGACAGATCCCCTATAGGCATGGTAGGGCTGGACCCCCATGGCCGTGTCAGGTTGGACCCCAAATTGAAGACTGATCCCCTATGGCCATTGTAGGGATGGATCTCTACTATGGGGTCATGTCAAGGTGGACACCAAAGTGGGGACAAATCCCCTATAACCATTGTGGGGATGGACCCACACTATGGGGACGGATCCTTTATGGTCATGATGAAGATGGGTCTCCGTGGCCATGGGATGGACCCCATAGTGGGGATAGATCCCCTATGACCACTGTAGGGACGGGCATTCAACATGGGGACAGATCCTTTATGGCCATGATGAAGGTGAGTCTCTATGGCCACGTCAGGTTGGACCCCAAATTGAAGACAGATCCCCTATAGCCATGGTAGGGCTGGACCCCCATGGCTGTGTCAGGTTGGAACCCAAATTGAAAACAGATCCCCTATGGCCATTGTAGGGATGGATCTCTACTATGTGGTCATGTCAAGGTGGACCCCAAAGTGGGGACAAATCCCCTATAACCATTGTGGGGATGGTCCCACACTATGGGGACGGATCCTTTATGGCCATGATGAAGATGGGTCTCCGTGGCCACGTCAGGATGGACCCCATAGCGGGGACAGATCCCCTATGACCACTGTAGGGATGGATCTCCATCATGGGGACAGATCCTTTATGGCCATGATGAAGATGGTTCTCCATGGCCGTGCAAGGACAGACCCCAAAGTGGGGACAGGATCCTACAGCTGTATTGAGGATGGATCTCCATGTGGGGTTTTGTCTGCAGGGCAGGAACGTGGTCAATGGTGAGACGGGCTGGTTCCCCTGTGCTGCTGTCAGACCCTTCATCTGTGTGAGTTACAGGGACCCCAAAACCCTCTGAGATACCCTACAACGTCTCCAGGAGCTCCAGGGATTGGGCACGGAGGGGATGTCCCCAAAACGTTGGGTGTTTCTTGGGATATAGGGGTGTCTGTGGGATATGGGGGTGTCTGTGGGATATGGGGGGCTTTGGGGGAGTCGCCCACTTCCCCCCTTGATTCCCATCTCTGCCTCTGCCCCACAGGCACCGCTGCCGGATCTCTCTGTCTACCTCTGGTCAGTGTTGGGGTCCCCTAAATCCTCCTCTGGATACACTCAAATCCCATGAGAAACCCCAAATTGTCTGTTAAGGCCTCCATAGACACCTTCCCTCACCCAAATCCTCACCCAAGAACACCCCATAGCCACTGGTACCCAGTGAAACTTTCACCTCATCCTTTTTGGGGTCACCCTATTGCCTCAAACCCTCCTGAAGTCACCAGAATCACCCCATCACACAGACCTTCCCCTGTTGTCCCCATCCTTCCCTGGAGCCCCCTAGATCCTATACCAAGGTTACCTCATAGCCCCCCCCAGATCACCCCATAACAACAATAGGGTGCTGATTTGGGGGTCTCAGAACCCCATTCTTCCCCACCCCAGGTACGCCGGCCCTATGGAAAGGGGGGAAGCGGAACAGATCCTGACACCCCGTTCTGATGGCACGTTCCTGGTGCGGCAGAGGGTGAAGGACACGGGAGAATTTGCTATCAGCATCAAGTAGGGTTTTGGGGGCATCTGTGGGGGCCACCCTCGGGGTTTGGGGTGGGGGTCAAGCGGTGGTGATGGGGTGGATGTAGGGAGGTCCTCTACGGTGTGTGGCGGTGAGATAGAAAGAGTAGGGATGGAGCCTTGCAGTGGGGTGGAGGTGGTGGTGGTGGGATGGGTAGGATTTGGGGTATGGGGTGAGATGGAGGTGATGGTGGTGGGATGAAGGTGGTGGTGGGATGGGTTGGATTTGGGGTATGTGGTGGGATGGAGGCGGTGGTGGTGGGATGGGTAGGATTTGGGGTATGGGGTGGGATGGAGGTGGTGGGATGGGTAGGATTTGGGGTATGGGGTGGGATGGGGTGGCCATGGGGTTGGCTGGGGGGTGATCCATCCCTACCCCCAACCCCACAGGGGCCGTGAGAAGTTTTGGGTCGGCCAAAGCCCGCTATGATTTCTGCGCCCGCGACCGGACGGAGCTGACGCTGCGGGAAGGGGACATCATCCGCGTCCTCAGCAAGAAGGGGCATCCAGGATGGTGGAAAGGGGAGATCTACGGGCGGGTAGGACCCCTCCCCATCCCACAGACACCTCCCCTGCCCCACCGTCACCCCCCAGAGCCTCACCCCATATCCTTCCTCCCCCAGGTCGGATGGTTCCCCGCAAACTACGTGGAAGAGGATTACTCGGAGTATTGCTGACCGCAGGACCCCTAAATGTCCCCACCCCATATCCCCAACCCCACACCTTCTGCACCCCCCCCTTTGAGGTCATTGCATCACTCCCCTCCCCTTTAATTAATTTATGCCTCCTCCTGCCTACAAGGGAGCAATAAAAAGGGTGAGGACGAGGCTGCGGGGTTGGCTTTTTTGGGATGGGATCCAGGGATTGGGGGCAGGGAATGGGGCCAAGATTGGGTGATCGATGGATGTGGGAAGGCACCCAGCAAGGGCTGTGGGGCCAACATCTGCGGGAAGGGATGTGGGTGGGGGGTGGGGATGGAGGTAATGGGGTCGGCGCCGTTAGGAAAGGACCCAGGTGTTGGGGTAGGAAACAAGGATGAGATTATGGGGCTGAGACAAGGCCATCAGATTGGTGACCCCAAGAAGGGGAAACTGGTGGAAGCAGATCAGGCTGGAGCAAGGAACTGCCCCAAATGGCCTGAAATTGTCCCCAAAAATAGACCTTCGAATCCATTTCTTGAGGCTGGGTGGGAGGTCGGACCCTAAAAGTGGGGAGACTGGACCCAAAAATAACAGGTTTGAGCCTGAGGATCTGGTGCAAACTCAGACACATTTCATCCCCATCCCAGGACAAATCCTGGGATTTGGGGCACTCCCCAAATCCTTGATCATCTCAGAGGTTCAACATCTCCACAGGGCCCTTGGGGCCTCCTTGTGCTCTTTGGGGTCTCCTTGAGCATCTTGGGGTCTCTGTGGTGTCCATGGGATCTCTTTGAGCATCTTGGGGTCTTCAAGGTCTCCTCGAGTTTCTTGGGGTCTTCATGGGCTCCTCAGAATCTCTTGAGCCTCTTGGGGTTTCTGTAGGCTCCTGGGGGTCTCCTTGAGATTCTTGGGGTCTCCATGGGCTCATCAGAGTCTCCTTGAACATCTTTTGGGGTCTCCATGGTGTCTCCTTGAGCATTTTGGGGGCCTTTAAGGTCTCCTTGAATCTCTTGGGGTCTTCATGAGCTCCTCAGGATCTCTTGAGCCTCTTGGGGTTTCTGTAGGCTCCTTGGGGTCTCCTTGAGATTCTTGGGGTCTCCATGGGCTCATCAGAGTCTCCTTGAACATTTTTTGGGGTCTCCATGGTGTCTCCTTGAGCATTTTGGGGTCTTCAAGGTCTCCTTGAATCTCTTGAGGCCTCCGAGGTCGCCTTGAATCTCATGGGTTCCTCAGAATCTCTTTGAGCATCCTGGGGTCTCCTTGTGCCCTCTGGGGTCTCCTTGAGCATCTCTTGGGGGTCTTCAAGGTCTGCTTGAACCTCCCGAAGTCTTTGTGAGGATCCTGAGGTCTTTGAGCACCTTCAGATCACCTTGAGCCTCCTGGGATCTCCATTGACCCCTTGGGATCTCCTTGAGCATTTGTGGACCTTCAGGATTTCCTTGGGCATCTCGGGGTCTCCACAGGCTCCTTGGGGTCCCTTTGGGGTTTTCTTGGGCTCTTTGAATTCTTCTTGAGCCTCTTGGGGTCTCCATGGGATTCTTGGGGTCTCTTGGAGCCTTTTGAAGTCTCCATGGCTCATTCCAGGCTAAACTACGAGATAACCCAGGTTGGAAAAGGGTTTGGTCCAACTCCATGAGGTTCTTCAGGTGTTTTGGTGTCCCTTCTTATTTTGGGTACATCCCAGCACTTGAATTATGGGATAAGCAAGGTCTGGAGAAGGGTTGGGGTCTGTGGTCCAACCCCAATTCCATGCAGGTTCAACCACGAGCTTCTTCACAGCTGGTTCCTTCTCGCTGTGGTTAACCAAACGGTGAGATTGGCAAAGGGAGAACATCACCCATTTTGCCCAAATTTTTGGTATCTGCTACCAAAATCACTGCGGGGGTTTGGGGTGTTTTCCCCTTCCTCTGTCATTTTGCTGCCAGCTTTGCATCGTTTCCAACCCAAATTCATGACAACAAAACTCTGGGCTTCTTTCTCCCAGAGATGGTAAATTGAGGAACTTAGGAGATTTGCCTAAAAAGGGCAAATTCTCATAAATTGAAGCAGAAATTGAAGCGAATGTGCCATATTATGTGTGCTCACTGGAGGTCACAGCACGTTTCAATCCTTTTCCAACCCGAATTCCCACTCCATTGATCCTATCTTGCAAAAATGATGACTTTTGTTTATTTGTTCCCTGCCCAAGTTTACTCGACGTTTTTCCTCCTCCCCCTCTGGATGCTGTGGGAGTGACAACGTGGCCATAAAAAGCTCTAAAAGTGGGATTTTCCCCCTTTTTCATTTTCATATTTGATTTGAAGGGGAGGGGAAGAGCATTTGGGATGATTTTGGGGAGAAAAAAAAAGGGAGAAGTGGGTGTCCCAGCAGGCTGATGGCATTCAAAGCATTGGGGGACCAACAAGAAACCAGTGGAGCCCATTTTAGACCCGTTTCTGCCACATTTCACCCCAAATCTGGTCCTTCCTCCCCCCAGGAAGGAGACTGAGGGCTGCACATGGGAGAAGTGATGATGGGGACCCACAGGACCAACTCATATCTGCATTTTCTGACACATCTGACCCGTTTTTTTTTGTTTTTACCATTTTCTTGTTGATTGGACCCATTTCCAGCACTTTTTTTTTTTTCCTGCTTGAACAAAGTTTTTTAGCTTCTCCCCCAAATCCCACCCATGAGAAGCATTTCCTCACAACAATCCATTTTCAGCAACTTTTTCCCCATGAAACAACCTGTTTTCAGTGATTTTTTCCCAAAGAAATGCCCCTTTTGAGCATTTTGACACGATTTCTGCATTCTTTTCCCAAAGAAATGTCCTTTTTTTTTTAAGAATTTTGACCCCTTTTCAGCAGCTTTTCCCCAAGAAATGACCTGTTTTCAGCAAGTTTTCCCCAAGAAATGCCCCCTTTGTAGCATTTTTACCTGTTTTCAGCAAGTTTTCCCCAAGGAATCACCCCTTTTTAGCATTTTTACCTGTTTTCAGCAAGTCTTCCCCAAGGAATGCCCCATTTTCAGCCATTTTTACCTGTTTTCAGCAAGTCTTCCCCAAGGAATGCCCCATTTTCAGCCATTTTTCCCAATAAATGCCCCCTTTGAGCATTTTTACCTGTTTCCAGCATGATTTTCCCAAGAAATAACCCGTTTTCAGTCATTTTTGCCCCAAGTAACGCCACTTTTTAGAGTATTTTGACCTGATTTCAGTGACTTTTTTTCACAAGAAACGACCTGCTGTCAGTCATTCCTCCACCCCAAACTCCTCCTTTTAACATTTTTACCCATTTTTCAGCATTTTTTTTCCCCCTTTTCCTACACTTCCAGCATCCCAGTGCTCCCAGTCTCCCACCTACGGGTCCCACAAACCCCACGTACACGAAGACCAGCATCCCTGGAACACAGGGGAACAGTTTTTTGGGGGGAAAATTAATAACATTTTTTATGGAAAGCAAAAGGATTTCTTGGTGCCATTGCTGGTGGCTTTTTTTTCTTTTTTAAATTGGAAACAGTACAAAAGGGATCCAAAAGAGTTTTGTTTTCAGCCGCGGGTCCCGTCCTTATTGATCTTACATTTCTCAAGCTTGGCTCAAATTTCCTCATTTCCAAATTTCCTAAGAGCTGCCGAGGTTAATTTTCAACCCAGAGGAAAAAAAAAAAAATAAAAAAAAATCCGTTATTCTGAATTTTTTTTTTCTTTTTTTTTTTTTAGCTTATCGCCCTCTAAAAAGCAGCAGTGGAGAACAAATGACAGTTTTTTGTTTTTTTTTTTTAACTCAACCCAATTTAACTGGGGTTTAAAACCTGAACGTTTTCAGCTGCTGGCTGGGTGCGATGCACGCTTCTGTTTATTTGGGGGTGGGAGGAAGGATGGAACGGTGCAGCTTCTTCAAAAATAAAAAAGGATTTGCACAGAGGCTGGGGGAAATTCAGCAGCGAAGAGAAACTGATTCTTCTGGCACCGATGAGCAGTTTTTTGTTTTTTTCTTTTTAGCTTTTTACCCTTTAAACTTTGTCCAGCATCCAGAGAGGGAAAAGTCTGAAAGATGCTTTTTTTTTTTTTTTTTTTGGGTTTGTTTGTTTTACTCACGGATTGCAAACAGAATTGGGGGGGGATGTCAGCAGCCCCAGGGCTTCTCACAAATCCAGTGGTGGAGCTGGGAGCAGCGCTCGTCCATCCACAGCCCGTTGGGGCCCATTGTGCCACAGTCCTTCTGGTCCTGGTCTGGGTTCTCCTGCCACGCCATCCAGTAGCTGGGGGAGGGGAAATGGGGGGGGAAA